TTCCTCTTCCTCTCCCTCCACTGTCTTGAAAGAGACCCCTCCTGCTTTGTCCACCAATCCCTCAGGTACTAGAAGAGTCACTACCTGACTGGCCAGCATTCAAGTAAAACCAAACCCTTTGTTTCATAGAATCCCAGAAACACAAAGAGGAAAAGGACCTTTATTCAGGCCCATCTTCCCCACCCACCCTGGCCCTGCGCAGCCCCATTCTCAGTCCAGTTTCAAATTGGTTTGGTAATAGGGTTCTCCCCCCTAGGGAGACTATTCCATACCAAGCCCTGTGGCAGAACAATGTCCCATTCCCATCGTCTGCGCTGTCTACACAGACTGTTCAGAGCCCATCCATGGCTAAGCACCCACCATAGCGTTTACTTACATGGCTCTTCCCACCACCTTACTGATCCATACATCACCTGTACCAGTTGCTCTTAAGCCCTTTGCTGAGGAGAGGAGAGGGAAGAGATCTCTCCACCCAGAGATCCTTCTTGGTTCTGGCTCTGCTAGCCAGCACCTCCTTCCTGTGCCTTCTTCTACCCTCTGTGCTAGTGGGCTACTTAACTCTTTTGTCCTCCCCCAGCCCATTCTTATGCACTAATTAGGCACAGTCAGGTCCACCTGGGTGGGCGGGGTGTGGGGGGAATAACTGGTGTTTACGTGATCAGCTGGCTCAGCTGTTAGTTCCTAGTACTCTCCCACAGCCTCATTAGTTGGAAATTTGTCCCCAAATCCTGCTCTCGGCATCCCTCCGGGTGTGTATTAAAGATGGCTTTCATTCTTTATTTTGGTTGGGTTTGACAGTCAAACTGTCACATTTGCTTATCCCCCCTGCCCTCCCGCCCCATCTCCTTAGCCGGAAGCTGTGACACTGGGGGATGGTAGAGGAAAGGTTTTCAGACCAACAGGAAACACTTTTACATCTCAGATCTTCCTGCCTCTAACCCAAGCATGTTCTTAATGAGCAAGTAAGCAGACGGGCACGGCACGTTCTCCTCCCGCCATCTGTGCTTTCGCCTCATGCTTACGGACCATTTGTTAGAGACAACGTCGGCACGTCAGCCTGCGATTTCGGACTCGACCCCGGGGGCTGAAGCGGCTGAGGGCAGGTGTCTTGCCTGGGGGAGTTGGTGAGAAGAGATGGGGTGCTGCAGCATGAGTGCCCGGCGAGCTGTGTCGGCGGGGACATGCCAGGATGAGATGGAGCTGCTGGAAATAGGTGGTAGCAGGTAGGCAGCATGTCTTTGAATCTGGATGTTTGAAAGAGCTTGATGGCCTTGCTGGATACACAGAGGTTACCTTCCCTCTAGAGCAGTGGTACAAGCTTTTGTATTGGTGACCCCTTTCACATAGCAAGCATCTGAGTGCGACCCCCCCCCTTATAAATTAAAAACACATTTTCATATATTTAACACCATTATAAATGCTGGAGGAAAAGGTGGGTTTGGGGTCGAGACTGACAGCTCACGACCTCCCATGTAATAACCTCACGACCCCCTGAGGGGTCCTGACCCCCAGTTTGAGAATCTTTGATCAAGAGCCCACTGGAATATTCCTAGCAATCAAGCAGTTAAAAGCTGAAACGGCCATGTCAGAATTTAGTCTCCTGCCTGAACATGACATTAACTTTCCTGTCCATGTCACAACCTAGATAAACCCCATAGGACAAGTGAATAAAGGAACTTCTCCTATTCATCTTCCGTTTCCTGTCCCTTCCTCTCCCATGACAGAAAATGGTCCATTTCAGAAGCGCAGAGTGAAGGCTCCCTCCATCTCAGGGACCCCGTGACCGCGACAGAGACAGGAGGTGTGAGTATAAGCAGAACCTCACAAGCCAAGAATCACGTGTAGAGTCAGGTAGGAGAGTCCGGGCCTGTTTATTTCAATGGGGCATGATGTCATCATCACCGCTTAGGCTTTTCCACTCCAGTAAGGCGCCTGACACCATTACATGGATAGGCCCTGAGCCCCAAACAATGATGAATGGTTCTCATTATCGCAGGGTGCGGGGAGGTCTTTTCCCCTCCAGTTTTACACAGTCATACAAATCCACACACTGTTTCTCACAGAACCTGAGGCTAGCTGAAGAGGAAGATTTTCAGGGGAGGATCAGCGAGCTGAACCCACAGGTGAGTCTAACGCCATTATGATTTGTGTCAGGGTAGCTCCTAGAGGCCACAAACAGGCTCAGATGCTGGGTGTTGTCCCCAGAAGCACCTCACAATGCTCTTCGGCCCATTGTACACAGAGACATCTCACAGTAGATTAATGGCAGGAGCTGGGCGCTGAGTCCAGGTCTCCTGAGTCTCAGTTCAAGCCAAGACCATCCCTTCCTCTCTGAGCCTTACATCCAAACACCAGAGCAATGTCTAGGAGTTTGCACCTAGATTCCATTGGTTCCACCTCCAGTTTCCATATGTTTTTCAGGACACTTCCCACCAGGCTAATAAAGAGACGTTGTTTTTGCTTCCAGGCAGAAGTGCTGTGGGGGAGAACACGGGAGGAACTAAGGAACTTCCTAGTCACACAGCCCATCACTGGCTGGGAAGGGAGGAGCATCCACTCCCTTGGGGAAATAGTATGGTCCTCACTGGTTCTTATGCGCAGCTGTCACATGCAGGTAACCATCCTCATTCTGTTTGCACCTTCTGTCTCTTTAGCAAGGGATTTCCCAAATGCATGGGGGGAAAGCAATGTATTTTTAAATGGTAGGAGCAGAACGACTGGGGTAATTTGGGCCTCGGGCCCACAACAGGATCTGCTATCATGCTATTGTGGAAAACAGATCCTGTCAAATTAACTTGATATCTTTTATTTTTTGATGAGCTTACAAGTTTGGTTGATGAAAGTAGTAGTGCTGATGTAATATACTTAGACTTCTGCAAGGCACGTGACCTGATACTGCACGACCTTGTGATTAAAAAACTAGAACCATATAAAATTAACATGGCACACATTAAATGGATTAAAAACTGGCTAACTGATAGATCTGAAAATGTAATTATAAATGGGGATTTGTCATTGAGCGGGTCTGTTTTCAGTGGGGACCCGCAGGGCTAGGTTCTTGGTTCTACGCTATTTATCATTTTTTATCCATGACCTGGAACAAAACATACAATTATCACTGATAAAGTTTGCAGATGACACAAAAATTGGGGAAGTGGTAAAAAATGAAGAGGACAGGTCACTGATTTAGAGTGATCCAGATCGTGTGGTAAAGTGGGGCCAGCAAAGAATATGCATTTTAATGTGACTAAATATACATGTATATGTCTGGAAACAAAGAATCTGAGCCATACTTACAGAATGGGGGACCTTATCCTGAGAAGCAGTGACTCTGAAAAAGATGTAGGTGTCATGGTGGATAATCAGCCGAACATGAGCTTCCAATGCAATGCTGTGGCCAAAAGAGTTAATGGGATCCTGGGATGTCTAAACAGGGGAATCTCAAGTAAGAGAAAAGAGGTTATTTCACGTCTATATTTGGCACTGGCGCAACTGCTGCTGGAATCTTGTGTCCCGTTCTGGTGACTACAATTCAAGAAGGATGATGATAAATAGGAGAAGATTCAGAGAAGAGCCATGAGAATGAGTAAAGGAATAGAAAACACCTGCCTTATAGTGACAAACTCAAAGAACTCAATCTATTGAGAAGGTTAAGGGGTGACTTGATTACAATCTATAAGTACCTACATGGGGAACAAATATTTAATCATGAGCTCTTCAATCTAGCAGACAAAGATATAACACAATCCAATGTCTGGAAGTTGAAGCTAGACAAATTCCAACAGGAAACAAGGTACATTTTTAACAGCAAGGGTTATTAACCACTGGAATAATTTACCAATGGGCATGGTAGATTCTCCATCACTGACCATTTTAAAATCAAGATTGGATGTTTTTCTAAAAGATACACTCTGTGACTTATTTTGGGGACATTCTCTGTCCTGTTTCATACAGGAGGTCAGACTACATGATCACCACAGTCCCTTCTGGTCTTGGAATCTATAAATCCCACTGCAGAATTGGAGCCATACTTTGTTAGGAGGGAATTTGGGACTGAGGGTGAAAGATAAAAATTCAGCTTTTTTCACCGAAGTCAGCTAAAGGCGGACAGGTCTCACACGTTCTTAGAACTGGTTGACGTTTTTCATTCAAAATGTTGTGTTGATGACATTTCGTTTGTTTAAATGGAAATATGAGAATTTTGAGATGGTTTAAGCAAAAAGCAAAAAAAAAGAAAAGAAAAAAACAACTTTTTTTTTTAAATCTAGTTTTCTGGCACCAAAAAAGAAAAAAAAGTCTTTGGATTTCATTGTTTCAGGGGAAAAAAAACATTTCCAGACCAACCCTAGGGCTTCCCCCTTGTTACTGTCTCCAATAACATGACAAATAAAAACAACAAGGAGTCTGGTGGCACCTTAAAGACTAACAGATTTATTTGGGCATAAGCTTTCATGGGTAAAAACCTCACTTCTTCAGATGCAACATGACAAATAAATTGTCTCTCTGTAAGATCTGCATGGGATCACAACTGAATGAATTCCAGCTGAGAAAAACTCAGCCTGATGTCTCAGGTCATGGCTACACAGGAGCTCTCAAGGAAGTTAAGGCGAACAGAGGCAGCTAAAATGGGGATAAATAATATCTAAACTCCTTGTCTCGCAGCAGCGTTGTGGTTAGTTCATTCGTGTTTGAGATCCTCAGAGGAAAGGTGCTATAGAATGGCCATGTATTCAGAGTAGCGATTTGCTTGAATTTTGGCTCACCCCGGGCCATCTGCTACATTACACAGCACAGCGCATAGCTCTCTTCTACGGCCCTTAAACAACCTGCCCTATTGGAACCGGGAGCACGTATAGACGTACGAAATATGGCAGTGATGAAGAACGGGTACGGCAAGGAGCTTGGGGAAATTTAATCTCGATCATATTTTATTTTAAATAGGTCTTAACATTTTAGGACGATGATGATACTAAAACCTTATTTCCACAGGAGATGTCCGAACGGTACATTGTGCTGTTCCCCTTCCAGCTGTTGATTCTATCAGTGGATCACATGAAGAAGGCGTTTGTCTACCAGGTAAAACACAGGGTTCCCTTTGTACCGTGTAGAGCCCCTGTTCACTGGAGCACTGGGCTTCATCCATCAAGGCCCCAAGCTATCCCTTTGCTGTACGTCTGTGGCACAAATACAGTAACTAAATATCAGAACAGGGGCTCAACTAGAAAACTCTCTAGCTACAAAAGGAGCGTCCCGATCTGTGGGACTCCAAAGCAGAGGAAACCAGAGGGAGTCCCGGCCTGACCATCATCGGGGCGTGATGAGGAGGGAACAGACAACAGAAGTGGGAGAAAGAAATCACAGATGTATAGAATTATGAGCTACAGGAGCCAAATCAAAGAGTAAGGCATGTTGTCCAAAGCTTGGGGTGTGCCAACCTGGCAGGGTGATGGGGGGGAGGGGCACAGTAGGTGTATGAATTAGCATGGGGAGCACTTTACCACCACATGGCAGGGTTGAATAATAGCAATACACCCTCCTCCAATCACTTTCCATCCCTAGAGCTCAAAGCAGAACTAGATTTCAGCCATAGATTCTTTACAAAGGATGTCAGTATCATTATCTCCATTTTACAGATGGGGAAACTGAGGCACAGAGCGGGGCAATTACTTGCCCAAGGTCATCGGCAGAGCCAGAAATCAAACCCATGTCTCCTGAGTTCCAGGCCAGTGCTCTAGCAACTAGGTGATGCTGCCTCTCTTGAAAGAGCTGGGCCCAAGTGGCCTTTCATTTTCCTGAAGTAGGGGACCAGCTTTCAGGAGGCAGGGAAACACTGGATGTGGGGGAAGTAGAGCCTGGCGTTATGGGAGAGGGTGTGACTGGAAGAACGCGGAGAGGAGGGCGTCACAATGATTGCTTTCTAACAGTAATTCCCCACTGCTGCAGGGCCTGCTTCCGCTGGCGGGGATGAGTGTGAGGGACGTGCCGAGTGACACCGGCTGCATGTTTGAAATGATGGGTAAGCCTTCTTTCTAGACGCCTGTGAAAGGCTTAAACAGGTGGAAGATCCTCTTGTGATGACAGGGGAAAGAGGGCCACTGGTCCCTCTGTGTTCATTCCAGGCACCTCCTCATCCCTCTCCCCGTGACCAGGGGTGTCCATGTGCCAAGCGCATGCAACAGGGATAAGGCCCAGGCAGGGCTAGGGGCATTGGGATTCCCAATCTTCACATGTAAATGCGGCAGCCACTGATTCTCAAGCCAGCAAAGCTTCATTGTTAACTGTGACCCTTCGTGCTAAAGTCACCCTAAATGATAGATCCTCCTGAATCTGCTCCCTCAAAGTGCTGAGCCCACCTCTTAGAGGCCAGTGTCTTTTCAAGCAGAGCAGGACAACTGTCTAGTTCTGATGGGGACTAGCCCAGAACCCACCATCACGGACCACAAGACGTGGATGAGCTTGTCTCAGCATCAGGAATAGAACTGGTCCCAAAGGAGATGCCTGCAAGGCTGGCTACCAGCTTGTGAAGTCTTGGGGTGGTGGGAGGAATTCACCCATCAGACCCAGAGGCAGTTCTGTCTTCTTCCTGGGATGCCAGAGCTGTGTGTTTCCTTCCATAGGGCCCATGATAGAATCCAGGATCATCTCATGCCCGAGTCCAGCTGAATTCCACATCTGGGTTCTCAGCATCCAGCAGCACATCAAGATGGCAAATGCTCACTGTCCAGCTCACCCCAGCAATATCATTCCTTTCCTGGTAAGCCTGCCCTGCTGCTGGTGGTGGGTAAAGCCCGGAGTAGATGCGGAGTGAATGGGATGGGGGCAGGAAACATTAGTGGCTCCAGAGTGCGGAGAGACTGAAGTCCTCTGTGCATTCCCAGGTGGGGGTATGATGCACCGAGGCCAGAAACAAAATACCAGAGCGATGGACACCAGGCCCATCAGCTGCAGTGAGCCCAGCCACCCCAAGCACAACCCTGTGCTACCTGAACTGACAATTAACAACCTGTTCTAGTGGCTGGAGGCAGACTCTAGACGGAGATGTGACCCCTTCCTCCAAGCCAGTGTACACCCTGAGGACACCACAGATCCATCATAAGCTGTAGAGAGCAAGTCTGCTAAAAACACTGTGAACTTTCATACCACTGGCATTTAGTTTTTCTAACTGGCTGAGACACATTCAGCCGAACGACTGGTTTTCTGAGGCACAGAACGGGGCTGTGATTGACAGACCATAGGGAAATAGTTAGTCAGGCCAGACGTTCAACCTTCCCGTTAGTTACTGTCCCAAAAAGGAAGATTTGGTCTGAAGTGTCTACTGGCCTGTACCATACAGAGCCTCATAAGACACAACACAATGTCATGAAGTGCTACCAGAGAACAGGCGTACACTGAAGTTGAGAATAGTCATGCATTTGGATGCTACTGAGGGATGGCATATTTTAATGCAGTGAATATTCTTAAGGTTTTTCATCCAGTTCTCCCCTTCAAATTCTGTCTTCATGTTTCTAACTAGGAAAGGTTCAGATAAGCCCAGACCCAGCCTAGTCCGTCACTCCTCTCTCGAGCCTGACCACCTGAAAGTTCAGTTAAGGGTCCTCTTCTTCCAATCACCTACTTAGTGTAAGGATGTTTCAGGACCAATTCAAACAGGCCCACGGGTTACCTCACAAACCCAAGGAAAGCCGACAAACCCACCGCTCACACCGAGTTCTTAGATCTTATTCCCCTTTTTAGCAATAACATACCTAGCAGTCCTGTTACATGACAGGGACTTTCCTTGTTTTCCCTAAGCACCCCCAAAAATACAATAACAGAGTGTTCAGATCTTAATATTCTTTGCCAGGAACCTTTGTTCACACTTTTCCATCTCTAAAAGATTATACAGATGTTATAACACCCACACAGGCCTACAAAACCTACATCTCCATTGCTTATACATCTACTAATGCATTGCTAATCAATGGTCCACTAGATACAGATTAGGTCTTTATTGTGTGAGATGGGGTAAGCCCACCTAACCAATGCGTAACTCCCTTACCCTTAGCGACTCATCCCCCTTCCAGCAATGGCTGCTTCACCCAACCTGTCCGTCACTAAGTCTCCCTTTCAGAGAAAGGCCCACTCCACTCCAGTGCAGCAAGACCAAGGCACTGCTTGATTGTCCCCGCTGCTCCTATGTGCTAAAACGTAGCTGTGCTGTAGGGCTTACAGATTGCACAGGGGACTGAACAACCTGAAGTGTGTAAAATCTCAGGGACGGGGAGAGAATAGGCCACAGTGGTTGGTTGGTGAGAAAGGCCTTGACTAAATATTTTTCTCAAATTTTCCAACAAGGGGAAAGGGTGTTCAGGCTTATTCTTATGCCATTTAAGAGACGGGCCTGATTAAGAACTCCAGGCCCAAACCGCTTTGAATTTGGGGAAAATTCTCATTTGGATCAGGCCCATTTCTATAACTGGGCCAAAACAGAACCTCACATCACACGAAATGTCCCCTCCCAAACCTGGGGGAAGTTTAGCTTCAGATGCAAATTTATGTAAGGTACTTCTATGGACCCCATTCCTGTAGTATCTAAGCACTTCACACTCTGTAATATCTTTAGCCTCACAACGTCCCCGTGAGGCAAAGCAGTGCTAATATCCCCATTTTACAGATGGGAAACTGAGGCACAGAATGGCTACGTGACTTGCCCAATGTCACACAGGAAGTCTGGGGCAGAGAAGGAACTTGAGCCCAGCTCTCTTAAATCCTATGCTAATGCCATAACCAGTGGAACATTCATCTAACACCTTCAAACCTCTAACAAACATCACACTTCTATTTTTATTCTCTTCTGTATTGCATTCTGATCTGTCTCGGAAAAGGTTCCATGTGATGAGCAGTGGAAGAAACGGAAGCTGATGAAGCATCTGTTTTACACCACCATTCTGAAGTGGGAAGGGAAACCCCTCCAGCACCTAGGACGGATACACTACCTGGCCATGGTGCAGGTGGCTTATGCCAGCATGGGGGTAATGTACAGCATCTATTGCTCTAAAACATGTGAATCACCTTAGAAGGACTGGACGCCCCTGGAGCTTGGGTTCACATGGAGTCACTGGACTGAGATAGCCTGGGGTCCTAGCTAGATGAGTGCATATGGGAACTACAGCTGGTCAGGAATTTTTCAACCTATCAGTTTTTCACCATAAGATGCCGATGCCTCAAAACCAAAACTGTCTGAGAAACATACATTTCTGAAATGAAAAGTGTTGGGGCTTTTTTTGAGGCTAGATGACTTTTCATTTCAAAATTTTAGTAAATTTAGAGTCAAACAAAAGTTAGAAGGGTGGAAATGTCAAAATTAAAACATTTCAAAATTGTCAAAACCAAATGATCTGATTAACCCAAACTGGAATTTTGTCACGGTTTGTTGGTTCACAAGAAATTTCGAGATTACAATGTTTCTTCCCAATTTAAAATGGCAGAACTTTTCTAAATCTCAAGAATTCTCATGGGCTGGGAAACCCTAAATGAATCATCAATGACTTTTGGCTTGTGCGACATGATTATTCCATAAGCAATCTAAAAGAAATCAAGTGTCAGCCAAATAGTCTAGTGAAAAAGGTTACCACAGTATCAAAGAGACAGACACAGATGATTTGTGGGTATGTAAAATATCCCTCAGAAGTAGGGTGTGAAAAAGAAGCAAGTGTGAAAAATTGGGACGGGGGTGGGGGGTAATAGACATCTATAGAAGAAAATGCCCCAAATATCGGGACTGTCCCTATAAAATAGGGACATCTGGTCACCTTACTCATAAGGTATCAAATACCTGTGTATTGTGATGTAGAGTGAGGTACATACCTATACAAACACACAGACACATTGCATTTACATGCAGCTATCTGTGAGGGGGGAAATAACACAGATTCTAAACTGATCAGTTTCGTAAGCCTTGTGAATTCTATCTCATATATACTGTAGAGGATGTTGTCATGTATTTCTGTCCCAGATATGGACTGGCTACAGAGCTTGCTTATACACCCCAGATGTGTTCATCATAAGATCCTTTAATGCTCTGCCAGGTATGACTGAAAAGGCTAGCTTTAATACGGTATTTTGCACATCATGTCACCTAGTGGCTGAACAGTATAATGCAGCCTAGCATTCCATGACAGATGACCTGTCAATATTTTATATTGTAGCTATAGCAAACAAAGGGGAAATACCTGCTTGTGGGGTGTGTGATGACGATGACTGAATGCTTGAAAGTGACCCTGTGATTTAGGATCTCTCTCCACACCCATTTTACACCACTACACATTCTGCTGTCAAGCTAAGACTGCCCTATTAAGTACAAGTTAGTGACTTTGCCATGCACCTCTCTCTGCAGGACTTTAAAGAGCGGCTGCTGGTGCTGTTTCCAGAGGATCTGGTTTTCCTCTCCGTCGACAGAGAGAGAACCGGCATTGCGTATGAGGTAAATAATGAAGCAGGTGTGGGGACTGACTTGGGAAGAAAGGTTACCGAGCCTGTAGCGCGTGGTTAAAGGAGAGCTAAGGGGGGAATCCAAGAACCACCCTACAGGTGTTGGAAGGGAGAGGGGTTGATTAGGGTGGCCCAGGGAGGAATAACGAGGAGATATGGGATGAAGCTGAGCTAAGGAAAACTTGAACTGAATATCAGGAAACGTATCCTAACAATGAGAGCGGTGGAATCTTCTCCCAGCTGTAGAAACCACCATGCTTGGGATATTTAATACTAGCCTGGGCAATCCTGCACTAGTCTGAGGAGACGCACTTGGTGACTTCATACCCCTTCTCATTTCCCCCACCTCTTCTCTGGCAATTCCTAGTCAGGCTCTGTTAGAGTCCTTAAAAATCAGTGGGGTGGTGTATCAAATGGCCTCTGATCTCCATTTCTGCCCTAGCTCAGAGCTAACCCCCAGGACGCTCAAGGTAACTTCAGCTCCTAAACTTCAAAGCAGTCGCCACATGGGCTGACATCTGTACTGCTGAGTAACGGAAACTGAGCATGACAAGGTGGGTGAGCAAATATCTTTTACTGGACCAACTTCTCACCCACCTTGTCTCTCTGATATCCTGGGACCGACACCGCTACAACAGCACTGCAGAAACAGAGGCAGTTACTTTCCAAGGAACTGCAATTAGAAGAACATTGCATCCAGAGCAAAAGATGCAGCAACAAAAATAACACGAAGGAACCACAGAGACAGAGCTGGGTCCTAAATATCCGTATTTGCTAAATAGACACATACATCCTGCTGCTCTGACTGGATGCTAGCAGCTTCTATAACATAGCACACCATGAGCACTATTAGAGGGAGGCTACCCTGTGCCTGTACACTGCAGGCATTTTCTCTTTCCTTTTCTCTTTGAAGGGAAAACTCCCTCTAGCTGGGATCCAGGCAAAGGAGAAATCTGCTGTGCTGGGGCGGCTGGAATTTGAAATCACAGGTATGCCAGGGATTGATGATCGTGGTGAGAACTGATTGTGCCATGAGGATTTTTGCATTGCAATGGAATCAGCTGTCCCTTCCGTAACTGTTTAGTCCAGGCCTGTGGTAAGGTGGCCCCAGGTGAGGACACTAGGCTAGACAGGCCGTGTTTAGCTAATGGGGCTACAGGCTCTGCCTGTGACCAGCAGCCTCACTGAAGGATCCTCTTCCCAGCCATTATCTGAGCCCTGCCTTTTCTCTACCACAAGAGACTCTAGCTACATAAAATCAGCCTCCTCTCCCATCCACACCCTTCTGCTCAGGCTACACCTAACCCAGGCCGGAACACTCACCCCCCAGTGCACTCGCCTTGCTACTGGCTATCAGGCTTTTTGTGGTCTTCTGTGTTCCCTGATTGGCCCATCTGCTCCAGCCCTGTCTCAATTACTCCACCCTGTACACCTGTGAGAGATCTGAGCCTGTGTAGGGAGGGGAGGAGGCGGGGGGGGGGGGGTTAACTCTTTGCCTGCTGGGACGCAGCTGGAATACCTGTGCCCTCTCCCAGTGTATGCTGATAACACATGGGCCAAGAAGGATGCGTGGACTATTCCTGCACCAAAACGTTCCCACATGCCTCACTGTTCTCTTGGCAGGAAACCTGACGGAACCGATCCTGGTCACCTGCTCCACCGCTGAAGATTATGAAAAATGCCTCTTCTACCTACAAAAGGTCCTTGTCAGACATGACCCCCATACACTTTCTTTGCTCTGTGGCTGTTGTGGCTTCTGCTTTTCCAACCTGGGACTTTCCCAACCTTACGCACAACTGCTTATCCGCCTCCTACTCCTCCCCCTCCCCCCCCCCCCCATAAGGGTCCTCCATGATTCAAAACCAGTTAGCGCTCAGGGTGACCATTCAGCTTCCTTGGAACTCATCCTCCCACCTAAAGGGTTCATCATGGGGGACCACAGTACTTTTTCCTAATCAGAATGTAAGTGTGTATCACATACAATCACCCTGGAGATTTGAACACCTCACCTCCACTGCAGAAAGCATAAGCCACTACAGCTTGACCTAAAGGGCAGAGACCGCTAGCTAGTCACTTTTAGTAGAGTCATATGCTCTGTGGATCATGCACAAAGGGAGACACATGGCATATACTGAACATTTGATTGCCTCTGCACCATACTTGGGGTTCACAAAAAGGTGATGGTGAACTGGGCTGCAAGATTTTAAAAGTAGAAAAGCTCTGAGCCCCTTGAGAACTTGGATTGAGAAAGGCTGCACCTTTTCTGAATGCTTAAAATCTTAAAAGCGCTTAAAGTCTTTCCAGCAGCATTGCTGTATTAGTGCATTAATCTGCTGACATCAATCTGTTCCAGCCTGAGCAAAACCTTGACACTGTGACTGTCCAGCCACCACCAATAGTGCCGAAGAAATCGCTGCAGCGTTAGAACTATGGAGCCTATGGAAAGGGCACAGTGAAAGCGCTGACTGGAGAGGCCAAACTGATGGCTAAGGATGCTGGAGGAACGAGCCCACCACTGGCAAAACTAGAGATGGACCAGAAACAACTTGAATCCAAACCCCTTCAGACTGAGAAGGTTGAATTGTGAGTCCTCGATCTGAACCTACCCTGTGGGGTATGGTCCCCGGCTGGACTCATTCATTTGTGCCCAGATTAGCTGCTGTTCCCGATGGCCTGTTGGAACCCCCTGGATATAATCCCGGTTGATCAGACTCCTTGGGGAGGAATCCTTCCTGGTTTGATCACTTTATTTATTGGCTGCTGCTTCTTGGAGAGAGAAATAACCTAAGGTAGTGTGTAAATAGGATGAATAAAAGTCCAAGCCTTGTGCAGAAAGGACCATTCCTGTGACAGAGTTTAAGGCCAGACGGGACCGCCCAATCATCTAGGCTGACCTCCCGTATAGCACAGGCCACCAACACCCGCACACGAAACCCAGCACCCAGAATGAGACCAAAGTATCACAGCCCAGAGGAGACTAGACCAGTATGTGCCACAGGCAGAGACTAGGAGGGATGGAGGTGCACCAGTGCCTGAGGCCCATGAAGGAGCAGGGAAGTAATCAAGTGTGATATACCCAGATAATCCTGACTAGTGACCTGCACCCACCTGCTGCAGAGGAAGCTGACCCCCACCCCGCCCACCGTCACTGCCAATCTGAGTTGGGGGCAAATTCCTTCCCGACCCGACATATGGCGATCAGCTAGACTCTGGGCATGTGAGCGAGAACCAGCCAGCCAAGCATCTGAGAGAGAGACTGCTCGGTGTCATGTCACAGGCCTGGCCCTCCCCATCCAATGGCCCCTCTCTGCCCGTGGCCATCCCGTACACTTCCAAGGAAGGAGATTGATAAAAAGAAAACCGGGATGCATTGGGAAGTGAAGGGAATCCCTTCCTGACCCCTGCAGGTGGCTGGCTGAAGCTCTGTGCATGAGCTTTTAGATGTAAATCAGAAGCGACCCCAAGGGCTGCCCAGCCCTGAGCCCCACCCTCACAAGGAACCCCATCACACTCTCTCTCAAAACTAATTAAGTTGTTTGCTTCCCAGCTCCTACTGGGAGGCTGTCCCAGGACCTCCCTCCTTGGATGGTTAGAAACCCTCTTCTAATTCCCAGCCTGAAGTGGTTTAGGGCCAGTTTACCCTCATTTGTTCTTATGCTAACGTTGTCCTTTAGCTTAAATAGCTCTTCTCCCTCCCTGGTGTTTACCCTTCCCCCCGCCCCCTGGACGTATTTAAAGAGCGTAATTGGGTCACTTCCCGGGGGTCCCAGGTTCTGAGGCACCTCACTACCACCTGCCCTTAGCATGAGGCAGTGGTCCGTGCTTGCAGTGGATCAGCTCCCTGAAACCACCAGCCTCTGGCAACACAAGCACTCCCTTCCAGGTGTCCACTGGCCTCATGCTCCCTCTGTGGGTGTTAGCAATGAGCACACACTGACCCCTGAGTCCTCCGAGCAGCCCTCTGGAGCACGCACCCCTGGTCCACTGAGGACTCCCAGAACTCTCAGATCCGCTATTCCCAAAGCTGGCAAAAGTCAAATCAGGAGCCCCACTTTACTGAACCCACCACACTTAGATTTGTGTATATATATAGAGAGAGAAAGAGAAAACAAGACTACGTTTATTATTAAAAACAGAGATTCAAGTGATCGTGGGTAAGAATATTGGACATAAATGGTTACACAGAAAACAAAATCATACCATATGTCCTAGAGCCTAAACTTAAAACAAGGCATTCCCCTGTCTCCTACAAGATAGCTTATCCCGAGTCCTTTTCCCAGTGTTTTCAACCAGATGGCTCGAGATCCCCTTTTCACAAAATCAAGCCAGATGGCAGCTTGTCTTCATGGAAGGAGCCAAGGGTGTCTTTCTGCTCCCCCAAATATACCAGAACAAACCTTTGATGTTCACCTTCAAAAAGGGTCCTCCCACCCCCACTGTTTACCTCTTCCTGTTAATTTCCTTCTGAAGTCTCTGCCAGCACTTCAGCAGCATTTGACTCAGCATGCTAATAGATTGTATTGTATGACACACAATACCCTGTGATCCACCAGGGAGGTAAGTGTCTCCCGCCCCATGTCTGGAGAAATCGGTCTCAAGACACCCTACCTTTCACTGGCCTGCTTTTACCTACAGACCTAGCAAACATATTCTTAGTATATATACACAATTCCTCACTTCTTCTCTGTCCATACATCTCACAACGGTTAGGCTGACCAGTGCAAAACAGGCTCTCAGTAGAGAACTACACGATCCCTTTTGGTGAACCCACGGGATCCTCGTGCCCTGTGCCAGTTGGCATCAAGAGCATCCTTGAGTCACAGTAATCATATTGCCTTCTTTTTGCTAGGCCAAACAAGCCAAGCTCTCATAAGATAGGCCCTCCATCCCCCTGATCATCCTAGTAGCTTTTCTCTGCACCTCTTCCAGTTTGAATGTATCTGCCATGAACATAGACCTGTCTCTTCCTTGTGTTGGTATGAATCTGTTTTATGTCCTGTCTTGCAGTTCTCTATACTGAGAGAACTATATGCGGGCAGGGGACTGGACTCGATGACCTCTCGAGGTCCCTTCCAGTCCTAGAATCTATGAATCTATACTTCATCCTCATTTTTCCTTAGGCTCTGGTCCCTGGCAATCTCTATCATCTCTTACTCTCTTCTCCAGGGACTGGCTTCCCTTCTTTCCTTCCTCACCACCCCATTGTCTGCCTCCTTCTCCTGCTCATACCCCAGTGCAGCAAACCTGTTACTCGGCCACCACTAGCTGTTCTTTTCCTCTGCCTTGTTCTCATGGTCATGTTCTCCCATGGATCACCCTCCTCTTCTGGCATTTCACCCTCCGGGTCCTTTTGTTCAGCAGGTGTCCGCAATTCTCGAGTTGTCTGTGTCACCTGCTCTCTCCTCTCCGGCATTATACCTTCAAATCCTTGTCTGAATTCCATCATCTCCAGGGGCATCTCTAAGCCTTGGATCTTCTCTGCCATGAGCTCTGTCAAGCGAATTTCATGCATAAGTAGCTTCCCGCAGATACCCAGTCAAGGATGCTGTACATCCTGCAGCTTCTGTATCCGACCATCTTCTTTGTCTTCTCACCTCCTCAGGTCACTTCTAGTGCTGCCTCAGTAGCCATCGTCTTCCTTTCCTAGACCCTATTCCTAGAAAAAAAGAAATGGGGGGCAACCCAAACTGCCACAGAAATGCTGATCTCCACGGTTACCTGCTACCTGTTTGCATTCAAGTTCGCTAGTGACTGGCTTTTAAACCTTACCAAGCGAGGTCAGCACCTCCCTTTCCATATTACATCCATATTTAGGAGCCTAAAGCAATGGCCTGATTTTTAAAGGTGCTAAATAAATTAATGGAGATATCCTATCTCTTAGAACTGGAAGGGACCTTGAAAGGTCATTGAGTCCAGCCCCCTGCCTTCACTAGCAGGACTGAATACTGATTTTGCCCCAGATCCCTAAGTGGCCCCCTCAAGAATTAAACTCACAACCCTGGGTTTAGCAGGCCAATGCTCAAACCATTGAGCTATCCCTCCCCACACAGCTCCCATTGGCTACCATGGGACAACTCACATTACTCATGTAAGAGCTGCAGGATTGGGCCCTTAATTTTTGTTTCAAGAGCTACTCATGGTGTTTCCAGAACTCAACATGAATTCTCCATCCATAAGCCACTGGTCCGGGCTATCATCTATAATGTGAACTGACCGCCCACAGTTTTGTTTCTTATCATAAACAACCAAAAGAGCATCAGGTAACTCAGGAAATGGTGTCCGTTTCTAAGAAATCTGCCTTTGGGTCATAGCTTAATCAGACTTCTGGTCTGTTAATGACATCTTGTGTATTTTCCATAAACAGTAAAATCTGCCTTGAGAGAGGCTTGAGGAATTGACAAATAACAGGTGCTAGACAGAGGTGGCTCTTCTGATAAAAAGAGAAGAAGAACTGAACACAATATGCTTGAGACATTCTAGGGGTCACTCTCTCAGGGTCAAGATAGTTTCCAGGAAGGATGGTGTCTTGTTTAGAATCACAGAACTGGAAGAGACCTCGAGAGGTTATCTAGTCCAGTCCCCTGCACTCAAGGCAGGACTAAGTATTATCTAGACCATCCCTGACAGGTGTTTGTCTAACCTGCTCTTAAATATCCCCAATGATGGAGATTCCACCACCTCCCTGAGCAATTTATTCCAATGCTTAACCACCCTGACAGTTAGGAAGTTTTTCCTAATATTCAACCTAAACCACCCTTGCTGCAATTTAAGCCCACTGCTTCTTGTCCTGTCCTTAGAGGTTAAGAACAACAATTTTTATCCTTCCTCCTTGTAACAACCTTTTATGTACTCGAAAATACTATACATATACTTTTGAATAGGTTTCATTGTATATTGGAGAGAGAGAGAGAGAGAAAGAAAGTGTGTGTGTGTGTGTGTGTGTGTGTGTGTGTGTGTGTGTGTGCGTGTGCGCACACACGCGTGCTTTTGGGATTGGGACTGAAATTTAGACCTGAACTCAGATTCAAATTTTGCAGTGACACAAACACAGATCCAAATAAAGATACAGAGCTCTCTGAACGGAAACTGTAATGTATGAAGATTTCTTTGCCTAGGGACTCTGCACGGGTAACTTTTGTTTTCTTTGAACCACGTCTCCATCTGTTGCTGAAATGCCCCAGGAGTTACAATCACGCACAGTTAGGGGTTTCCCCCCTGAATCAGAACCATGAGACGCCAAGAACTGAACTGATTTTTCCGTCCATAATAAGTCCTTGGCAAGCAGTTAGATAGGTAGGAAGTAGAAATGTTTCTTTAGCCAGGCATAAAGTGGATGGGCCACTCTGCGAACTTCCCCCATGGACTATAGCTGTGTTCAATGCATCAGTACTAACAGACAGCGCCACCTGCTAGTCCATCAAGAGTTGAAACTGTTCTGCTAGTCCCCGGCCTATCAAACAGTTTTGCTTCTCCTTCTTGACCATGTTAGCATTATCTAAGCACTGTTCTCCAGCTCCGATGATACTAAGTAGCTGGAAAACTGGCTTACCCGGCTGTCTGGAAATCCCCAGTTCCTACAGCAGAGGAGGTGTTGAGAGGGGAGGGAGGATTAAAATAGATGATACTGCTGGTTTGGACTGTGGGCAGAGCCATTGGAGGGCACAGGCAGGGCCAGATTAAGGTTTGGAGGGGCCTAAGGCTAATGGGAGGGAAAGGCCTAAGTATGAATGACATTGTAAAAAAAACCCGATGAAGTCATCAAACATT